CCCGCCCCGCCCCTAACCTCCCAGATGGTGGCAGCCATGCAGCCTGAAACGGCTGAGTTGTTCGACTTCCTCAACAACACCGCCACGGCCTTCAACGCGACAGTCGCCGTGAACCTGCTCTACACCCTGCGGCTCGTTGTGCCCAAATGCCAGGACTACCTCTGGACGATCGTCGGCGGCCCGCTGTCCAGGGGCCCGGTGCAGCTCGCCCCGTGCGCCGCGCCTGATGGCGACGGCGGCAACAGCGCGGCCCCGGGCCCGCCCGGACCCTGGGTCGTGTCTGCTACGGGGATGCAGCACACGGACGTGACCGATGAGTTTGGCCCAGGTTAGATGCTGCAACCCACTCCAGCAGGGGGCCTACAGGTGTTGTGGTGGTCCTGCCGCAGTATGAAGTGCATGCTGGGTGTGTGGCGACAGTCAGCTCGCGCTCTGCAGTGCCATCACCTGGTGCCTCACCCTCACTCACTGCCAAGCATCTCTGAGCATCGCTGAACCAGCACGCATGTGCACCTTATTTTCCCTGCTTCTGCAGCCCCTTGCCAGGTCAACGGCAATTTCGAGGACTACATATGTGGGCTGTCAGCACCAGACCCTTGCTGCGGCAACTGCAGCGCCAGCGCGGTGCGGATGCCAAGGAGGTTGCTGTGGCGCGCCGGGGTTGATGGCTGGCTCTGTTCCGGGATAGCGCGTGTTGAGGTGCATCATGGGTGTGTAATACGGGATGCACCTTGAAAGCATGACTTTCAAATTCTTGCAAAACCTCAGAGATACCCCTCATGTCTCATGGCACGGTGGTCACCTCGCTTTTCCTGCTGTCCATTCTTGCAGGAGTGCACGCCCAAGCCAGTGTGCGTACCCCGTGTGGTCGACTTTAGGACCGCCAACTGCCTCAACAAGACATCCACCGGGCGAGAGGTGGGCTGATGTGTGCCGATGACCGGGCAGTCAGGCTTTCAGGTTGGTATGCTGGGAGCCGTCAGGCGCAGTCGAAGCCAGCGCTGTCTGGCCCAGGCGTTGAGGAAACTCAGTAAGCACGACTTCTTGCGGGCCCAGCGCAGCACGACCAGCAGAGCCTGGGACCTCTTGCCCTTGTTTTCTGCGCCATGCTCCGCAACTGGGTCTCAACCAGCACTTGGTATTCCCTGTGACCCACAAGCGCAGGCTTGCATCGCCAGCAACCAGTTGGATGGCTGCCAATGGGTAGCAACGACGCTGGACAAGGTGGCAGAGATTGGCTACCGTTGGCAGAGCGGGCTCTGGGGGGAAAGCTATGCTGTGCAGTTGACCAACGCCATGTTGTGAGTCGTTGGGTGGTGGGCTGGTGAGGCGGGGAGGTTTTGCTCGGCAGACCATACCAAGGGGATTTGCACCAGAATTGTTGGGAGTGCTTGCAGTAAGTTGATATCTGTTTGTCCCTAACGCCGCATTCTCCTCCTTGCTGCAGACAGTGGTAGTAATGTTCCTCGACGGTGCATTGCCCGCTCATCAGTTGCTTGCTGACACTCCAGCTGGATTGTCGCTCTGCACCTCCTCGCTCTCCTCTGCAGGTACAGCTTTGCTTTGCCCGGCGGCAACAGCAGCGAAGGTCCAGGAATGTGCGTGTACCAACCAGACCTGATGTGCCTGAGCACCACCAGGCCTGGAGATTGCATCACCTTCAGCGAGCGCTGCGCCCCGCTCGAGTCGACGTGCTTCACCGATGCATGCAAGGGCTCGGAGGACCCCTGCTGCGGGCGCAGCTGGGACATGTGCAACAATGCAGCGCTGCTTCGGGACGTGAGCGCGTTGACGGATGCGCTTTGTGTGTTTTGCTGGTTTGCTGTCCTAACGGTTGCTAGTGACGGCGGATGGAGTGTCTGCTGCAAAGGGACACGTTTGATTTTCCCTGGCTGTGTTGCAACCACACGCGTCAGACTGCTAATTGCTGGGCATCCGCGTTGATTGCAGATACTTGCCAGCTGCGCCACAGCTCCCGTGTTGCATGTCTCCCCAACAAACACCCCTTGCTCACATCCCAAATGCCAGGCGGCCGGCAGCTGCCAGTGGCGCCCTGCGTCGCAGCCCTCCTTTGCGGGCCCCGGCGAGGGTACGTGCGTCTTCCGGACTGTCAACTGCACGGCTGTCAGCGTTGAAGCCGTCGTGGGCGGCACCGCCAACCTCCTCAGCATCTTTGGGGGCCCCGCGGGCGCTGACAGCGCGAACGAGTCAGTGCAGGCTGGCCTAAGCGTCTCCCGAGAAGCCGCGGGCGAAGCCCTGCAGACCGTTGCACAGTGCGCGGTCAAGGCCGCCGTTGCCAACCTCACTTCGCCTGATCAGTTTGTGGCAAGCACCATCTGCATAGCAGGTGAGAAGCACAGCGCCACATGTATGGGCGGGCTGTGAAGTGCACGGTGCCGCCGAAAGGCCCAAGGTTGGCCAGTTCCATCCGTGACCGACTCTCGATGTGATGTGTGACGTGCTAGTGACCAGCCCATTTGCCAACCTGCCCCCGTCCCCCCGCACGCCAATGGCCCTGACAACCGCAGCCAAGCTGTGCCCGGCTGCTGTGGCAAGCAACCCCGCCGCCCCCGCGCCCCAGAGCTGCCGCGCCTGCCTGGAGCGGCTGGCGCGCATAGGTGACGACCTCCGCACAGCTCTGCGGTGCTCGGGGAGCAGCAGCGGCCCAAACAACTATACTGGCGGCATCAACGTCACAGCGGATGGCAATGCGACAATGGGCGGCGGCACTGCCATGTGGCCCAACTTCACGTTGGGTGGCGGTTACCTTGGCAGCCCCTACCCTCAGCCGGCGATGATGGGCGATAATTACAGCCCGCTGGATGCCGCGCTGCTCAGTACGCAGGCCGAGCTTCAGTCCCTGCTGTCCGAGAAGCTTAACTGGTGAGAGGCCAATCCAGGCTGCAAGTATCAAGTGGGCAAACTGAATGCAGGTTTGCACCAAGCACCAAGCTGAGTCTCTAGCAGGCCTGCTGGTCCGTCGCCGCAGCCCGTGGCCACTGCCATGACTTTTTTGCCAGCCGTGCTGCTAATAAACTGCCCTTCAACTGCCAACGCCGCAACCTTGTCCCAAGATGTCATGAGTCTGACCCTCACACCACACACCGCGGCTGTGCGGCGCCACCACTCCCCCACCTGCAGCGCGTGGATTGTCCAGCCGTTGGTCACCATGCTGAATCCTCAGACTGCAGCCAACCTCACCGATGTGTGTGTCAAAGCAGGTAGGCTGTACTTGGACACCGCAAGACGCTGCATGTTGCAAAGGGTGGCCATGCTGCACAGCAAAGCACCTTTGCCGTGCAACATGCGGCCGCCCTTCCCTCTGTGCTGTTTCTTGACAGCTGCCAGCTGCTGCCAGTGCCGCGCTCTTTGCCAGCCCTGCCGAAGGCTGCGGGGTTGCAACAGGGCTCTTCTTGCCCATCCCTAGCGCTAGTCCCAACTTATCACCGCTGGCTTGACCTCTGCGCTCATGGTGGCCGCTTCACCATACCTCATCTCCATCCCTGCAGATCTGTGTGACCCGGGGTCTGGGCCCGACAATGTCGGTGGCAATGGTTCGATGGGGCCGCCGCCAGGCCCCTGCCGCAGCTGCGAAGCGCGAGTCGGCGCGTTTGTCTCCATGGTCGCCGCCGGCAAGGCTGCCTTTGGCAACTTGACGGCTCTGCAGGCGTTTTGCGACGCCATGTCAGCGCTGGACATGTGAGCGGGCGCAAAGGATCCATCCCTGCCAGCCCGCACCTGGCTGCGGGAGAGGCAGTGCTTGCAATGAAAGACACCACCAATGTGCTTTGACCTGCTTACCTACACACCAATTCATGCTTAACGTCTGTCACCAGCAACCCTCGATTCCTCGCATGCACTTTCCACGCACCACAGGCAGTTGTCCCCTGACCAGGCATCCGACCCTGTTTGCATGTCTTCAGCTGCCTACAGCCCCGGCCCCAACTACAGCCCCGGCCCCTACTACAGCCCTAGCCCTGCCTACAGCCCAGGCCCCGCCTACAGCCCTGGCGCTGCCTATAACTTTGGCCCTGCCTACAGCCCTGGCCCCGCCTACAACCTCGGCCCCGCCAACGGCTCCGGCCCCGCCGACAACTCAAGCTCCTCGTATGCCGATGGCTCCTCCTATCCTGCTGGCTCACCCGGTTTCAACAACTCCGACAACTCTTCATACGTCAACACCCCCGCTGACGCCAACAACACCTTCTATTATAACAGCTCCCCTTACATCAATATGCCCGCCTACTCCCCCGGTCCCTACGTTGTCAATGGCCCCTTTGACGGCAACCCATGCCCCACCGGCACCGGCTGCATCACCAGCCGCGCATGCCTGCCCGCCGACAGCGACGACGCGGGCGCGCAGGTTCTCTGCACCTTCTTCTCCGCTGACGGCCCGGCCGCCTGCCGCGCGCGCCGCGAGTGCGCGTGGCTGCCGGCCGGGCTGGCTGTGACAGACGAGCCGCCCGAGACACAGCACTGCCTCGAGGCTGCCGTGGCTGTCGTGTTGGCGGGCCGCGCCGTGCTACAGTCCCCGGCGCAGCTTTGCAACGTGACGGAGGCGTGCAGTGCACAGTGCGCGGCCCTCTCTATGAGCGCCGCCAACGCCACCCAGAATGGTGAGTGGGGGCGGGCAATTCGATCAAGGCAACCTATGAGCGAGGTACATGCCTACTAAAAGACCAGAGTGCAGCTGGTCTACAGTGCAGTGGCCAAAATGCCACATTTGGTGGGAGCTGACGGATGGACCGCAGCTCCCCGTCACATCAGCTCCCGTAATGATGTTGGTGGCGATGCCAATTCACTGCCCTCTGCTGTCCTGACAGCCGCTCTCGCAACCCACCACTCCCACCCTTGATCATCGCCCTCACGTCCACCCTCCTCGGCAGCGACCCTGGTTGAATGCGGTGACTGTGCCGAGTGCCTCGCCCAGGCGGCGCCACTGGCTGCTCTCTACAACGCCACCAGACCGGATCTGGAGACGTTGCGGGTGGTGTATGGGGCGTGCCGGCAGGCGTACCTCAACAATGTTACCAGCGGAAACCAGTCGTCCCCTGGGCAGCCAAACGCCACGTACCTCCCGCCGCTCGCCCTGCCTGATGCGTTTTTGAAGGTAAGGTGGTGACGAGCACACGCTGGTGTATTTGGTGATTCACATGCTTGTGCCACGTGGCTCCAGCTGGCTTGATTTGGGAAGGGTTGAAAGGTGCCCCCGCAGGAGGCATCATCTTTGTAGGTGCGCTGACTGGGCCCCACCTTGCTCACGGCAGGGCAAGTGCGTCAGCTTGACACAGCTCAAGTGTGGTGTCAAAGTCAACGACTGCTACAAGTCGCCGCGTTGCACTGAGCAGTGAGGCCGCCTGGTTCCCTTTTGGCACAGCACTCGAACTGGATTCTGTTCCTGATGAGTGGGCATGCGTTGGCAATGTCTGGCCTGGGATAAGCACACAAGGCGCATCGCGCTCACGGATCCTGGCATGGCAACACCTATGCTGCTCCCCCTGCATCACCACGCAGGGTCTCCTGCCGCGCCCTCGAAAAGATCGACCCCGCCCGCTGCTTCTCCGAGAGCACCCGCCAGAGCGCCCTGCTCGACCCATTGCGCGCCGCCTGCAAGGCGCGTGCCGTGTGCGCCAACCTCACCGCTGTTGGCGCGCCGGCGCCTTCGGCGCAGTGGGTCTGCGAGCTCATGGCGGCGTGCAAACCGAGCAACGTCACGGCGGCGGGTGCGTGGTTGGGCCTTGTGAATGTGTTGATCTGCAGGTTCAATGGCCAATGGACCAGAAGGAGCTCAGCCAATGACAAACTCCAAGTCAATCGTTCTTTTTTGTGGTGCTTGCTGATCTGCACGTGGCACACTGTTGCACATGTATGTGCCCAGCACGAGCGCATGCAGTCACATGCACAAGGATTAGCATGTGCACGTAGCGACGTGCACACACACACACGCACGCACACACACACACGCACGCACGCACGCACCCACACACTCGCGCACAACCCCAAACACACACTACTCACTGCCGCACCACCCTACGCCACACACCCAAATACAGATTGCGCGTCTTGCCTAAAGCACGCGCAGAGGCTGCTTCCGACCCTGAGCGTCGACAGCTGCCCGGCAGCTTCCATGCCCTGGAGTCCCGCTGCCACACAGACGCAGTGCGAGAGGATGGCTGTCGCAATTGACCGATCAATTGACATCTGCAAGGACATCCCCACCATATGTGAGTGCGGGGCCGCAGCCACTGCTTTGTACCATGATGAGACGACCTGTTGCATGCAATCGTTGGGCATTTGCACGGTCTTCCCTCCATAATCCAATCAAACTTACATCCCTGCTGCCTGATTGGTTTGCCCACCACCACACAATCAGGGCCCGTGTTTTGGGCAGCGCTCAATAGCTCCACAGTCAATACCAGGGCCAACTTCAGCAGGGCTTGCTTGGCGCTGGTCAACACAGGTGCGAGCGGCACTCCTGCAGGGACCCAAATTGCACACGCTTGCCCATGTTAGCATCGGTGATGATGCTGGCAGCTCTCTGCTCCGAGCTCCTGACCGCAAATGCTGCACTTCAGGACCAGCCACGATTTACTCTGCTTCTTGATGGGTGCAGCCCTTGCATCGTCTTTTGCATGCCCCCCATTCCTGACGGCGCAGGCAGCTATGCGACCAGTTTCTTGGGCGACCAGATGGCGCGAGGGCAGTACATGCGCGGGTGCACGATGGCGCTCGAGCTTGCCGCCGGCCTCATGGGCTCGCGGCAGCTCCCAACAACTGCCGACGGGCTCTGGTCCTTCTGCGTGGACGTCAGCGATGTGACGCTTGGCACGCCATCGTTCATGGATGGCCTGATGGTGAGCAGCGGGCTCAGCAACCCGCTGATGGTGCGGGCGCGAATCCTTGTGCGCACACAATGCATGCATGCACGCTGGCTTGTAGGGTGTCGACTTTGCTTGACAGCTGATGTGACTGGCGACCCGTTCAAACACAAGCAACAACACTGCGAGCACTGCTGCAGCGCTGACAAGCAAACGCCGGCGCGATCGGGCGCGCACATGCTCGCAGGCCATGATGGGCCGCTACATGCAGGTACCGACGCCCAGCGATAATGGCAATGGTTCAATGGGCTCCGGAGACATGCCCTGGCCTGGCGCCTACGGCAACGCATCAATGCCAGGCGGCCCCAACATGACAGCACCGGGCAGCAATGGCAGCATGACGCCCCCCAGCGGCGGCAGCAACGAGACGTTGCCTGGCAACATGTCGGGGCCAGCACTGCCGCTGGGAGCGCGGCCCTGCGACGTCAATGGGGACCCCTGCTGCCCCTTCCCTGGCATCGCCCTGTCCGGCGACATGTGCGCGGCTATGGCACCTTTCAAGGGTTGCTTTATGCCTGTCGCACTGAGGCGTCGTCTGCATTGCTCGAAGTGCGTTCACAAATGGAGTGTGATCCAACGAATGAAGCACGATTTATCATGCACTGCTAATTGCACTTACATGTACGCGTGCACCACTGCCTCTCTCTGGGCGCAGGTGCGCCGCCGCCACCCAGGGGCGCTGCGCCTTCTCTGGGAAGTGCCGCGTGGTGCAGGACCCCTGCTACACCGCCGCCGCAAACACGCTAAGTTTGAGCGGTGAGCGTTACTTGTTCTGGGTGGGAAGCAAGCAGACGTGCATCCCTGTTTGCACAAGCACTTCAACAGGCAATGGGAGGAGCTGCATTGGGTTTGAATGCACGTGCACGGCGCCGGCCTGTCTGCATTGCTTGCGCTGCTGTTTGAAAGCGCCCATGCTCAGCGCGCGTGCAAGAGAGTGCTTTGGACTCGCCCTGCTGGCTTTGGTGGCCACCTTCCAACCTTCGCTTATGCAGCAAGCGCCCCCCGTCCGCTGCTCCTGTGTGCAGGTTACAGGTACACCACCTGCCCCGGCCCCTGTGCGCTGTTCATCACGGGGTCCGCACCCTCTTATGGGAATACCTCATATGGGAACACCACCAACCAAACTGCGAGTGGCAACACGTCAAGCGCAACGCCCGGGGTCAACACCACTGGCCCAGTTCCCAGCAACATCAGCCGTGTGCTATCTGAGGTCAGCGCAACCAGCCAACTCACGAGCGGCAACATGACTGGCAATTTCAACGGCAACTTCACAGGCAACTTCACGGGCAACTACACAGGCAACTTCACAGGGCTACCCCCCAGCGGCAACACGACCAGCTTGTACGCCTACTCCAACACGACGAGCCCGCCTCCAGGGGGCAACATGACGGCCTCGGCTCCCAGCGGAGCCATGATGAGCGGCCCCGGCTACGCCTTTGGGGGCCAGTTCTCCCCTCTCCCAACCCTCTTGCGCGACGGCAGCGTCGCCGGCGGCATCTGCTACAGCCCGCAGCTCTGGACGGCCTGCGCGCCCGAGGCAGGGGCTGCAGCCTGCGCCTTCATGGCAGGCAGCATCAACTTGTGCCATTTCGCCTCCCAGTGCTCTGTCCCCCCCACTGCCAGCAACTTTGGGTGCGGGATCGCCCCCGACACCTGCTGCATGACATCGGCGACGGCTGTGTTCTCCCCAAACACTTCTCAGGCGTGCGCCGTGGCGACCGGCTCGCCGGATCGCGGCTGCGTCGTCAGGCGGAGCTGCGTGATGGTCAGGGACCCGTGCCGCCGCTTCTCGACACCGTGGGGGTGCGCCACCGACCCCGGCTGCATGTTGATGCCCGGCTCCGAGCCCAACTCTTCGTTCGGGACCGTCTGCGCGTCCCGGGTCGACAAGTGCGCGACGGCGGCGCTCGCCGACTGCGGCCGCAACGGCACGGAGTGCGCAGCAGTGGACCGCTGTGTGTCGAACCCCTGCAAGCGCGGCGACGCCTGCTGCTTGCTCAACGACGACCCTGCAGCTTGCCGCGCTAACACTGCGTGCCAGTCCCAAGTCTTCTGCCGGCCGCGCGTCAACGAGTGCGGGCCCCTCGGCGCCAACCAGACTGCGTGCGCCGCCAAGCCGTACTGCACGTGAGGGTGCCGCACGGCGGCGCGGGGCGGCGGCGGCAGGGCCGGGTTCCTGCCCTTGGTTGCAGCCATCGCCAATGCGCCAGCGGCAGAGCAAGCATGCCTGCAGACTCGGCATCCGCCATCAATGCCCTTTTGCAGCAGCCGGAATCTCGTGGGCCCTGAACAGCAGATGCGCAGAGCCGGGCCGTAAACACCCACATTGCTGCACGTCGCGACCCACCTCCGGTGGCCCCGCGACCTACCTCGCAGGTGGGACGCTGGCTCTGGCAGCTGCTGGTCCGACGACTCGAAGCATCCCTGCGCCGCGCTGGCCGCGGACGCGTGCCGCGCCAGCACCCTGTGCGTGCCGCAGCACCAGTGCCAGGTGAGAGGCAGACCCCTGCCGGCGGGCATAATCAGAGCCCATATTGCAGCTGAATAAAGGCCCCACGCTTGGCACGATGATGTCAGCACTATTGATCATTACACAAATTAGGCTACAGCCTGTTGACAGGCCTTTCCTTCTGACTGCATTAATCCTGAAGCCTCTGAAGCCAGATGGGTTGGTCAACATTGCTTGCCCAGCCAATCGAATGCCCATTCGCGTCTTCCAATCGCACTGATCCCTCCAGGACCTGTGTTCTCGCTGCGCCGAGTGCCTGCCGCGTGCGCGGGAGATCCTCTCCGGCCCAACGGCGGCCGCCCTGGCTGCCAACTCCTCCAACACAACCGCGAGCCTGGCCATCTTCCAAGTGCGTCTGCAGGGCAACAAGCAGCGTTCTTTGCTGCCTGACCGCCAGCTACAGCATGCATAAAAAAGTTGCCTGTGGGGTGATAGCACGCTCACACTATGCAGGTGGCGGCCCCTGCATACACCAGGGGCCTCCCAAGCACTGCCCTATCAACTGCCCGCCTCTGATGACTCCGACATTGGCGCTGTACTGCAGTATGCCATCACAAACCAAGTCGCATGCGACACTTTGGAGTGCAAACCAACTTCTTTCAGCTGACTCTTTTCAACAGCCAAAGCACCTGCACCTCTGTGCCGTGACCCACCCTCCTCCGCATCACCTGCCGCCACCCAGACCGCATGCCTGCAGGGTATCGTCGACGCGCAAACCTGCAGCGCAGTTACGGCAATCCTGAAGGCCCCCGGCGGCACCAGCCTTGCGCTCCGCCCCGGCGCGATGTGCTCCCTCCTCGGCATGTGCTCGCCCGCCGCAAACTGCTCGCTGGCCGACCCCGTCGCCGGCCCCGCCGCCGGCCGCTCCCCGCTCAGCCTCTGCTCCTCGAGTGGCACCGCCAACGGCAGCCTCGCGGGCTCGGCCCGCGCCGCGGGCAGCCGGCCCGACCCGCCGCTGTGCGTCGCGGCCAGCGACTGCGCGGCAGGCAGCCTGTGCATCATGCTGGGCGGCGCGTGCGACTTCAGGGTGTGCGACCCTGGGACAGGCGTGGACGTGTGCAAGCCGGTCGGCAACTGCACGAGCGTCTGCGACACGCCGGCGGTTGTCGCGCGCGTGGCGGACTCGTTGAAGCGAGCGCCGCCCTGCACGACAGACGCAGGTTGGTGGCGCAATTTTGTTTTGTTTGTCTTTGTTGTCCCTGTTTGTCATCACGTGGCCAATCTTTTGCCCTGGCCTGTGAGGCGGTTTGGGTCAGAGACTAGTCGTCCAGCTGCCCCCCTCTGGGGACCTGAAAAGGCCCAGACCGCAATTGTCTGGGGTGCGGAATGGCACACGCTCGTCCCAAAAGCAACCGTTTTGTCGTGCACTGTCCCAAACCCGCGCCGCCACCCTCACCAGACTGCGCGGACGGCAACACCTGCCGCGACCCGCCCTCCGGGCCGCTGGTGCCGCCCTGCCGCCGCGTCGTGTGCGCGAACGGCACCGAGGGGTCCGTGCCGTGCACCAAGATCTGCCGCCCCGCAAGCCCGGCCATGGTCAACGCGTCGATCATGAACGACGGCACCACCATCAAGGTGTGAGGGGCAGCTGCTGATGGTGATTTTACTGGGGCTGTGCGAACGGCTGAGGCCTGACACCGGCCCTCGCCCGGCACTCACCAGCTGGCGTTTTATATGTGCAGCTTCACACTGGCGTCACTTCAGTCATTCCCTGTGCGTTGGTCTTGCTTGCCTGGTCGTTGCATGGCCCTTGGTCAGCCGGCAGCCCGTGATGCGAACCCCAAAACCCTGAAACCTAACCCCCTCTCCAGGTTTTGCTGAACCAGCCTGCCGCGGCCGTGCGGCTCCCGTGCAGCAACATCTTCGACGCCCCCACCACCACCGCCGTCGGCCAGTCCGCGCTCTGCGACGCCGCCGGCAGCACCCTCACCGTCACCCCGGCGGGCGACGTGCGGCTCGTCCCAGGCAACACGACCCTCGCGCTGCGCGCCGGCCAGGCATGGCTGGTATCTGCGCTGGACCCGACCAACCAATTCGCGGGCTCGCTGCCGCGGCCTGTCGCGACGTGCGCGGTCTGTCCCTCGCCCACGGCGCGCATCCAGGGGCCGCCCCGGCTGGCGGACCCCTGCGCCGGCGCCGGGAACGGCAGCGGCGCCGCGGCGCCGCGCAGCGTCGTAATCGCCGACGCGAGCGGGTCGAGCGACGCGTCTGGGCGGCGGCTGGCGTCGCTGGTGTGGGCGCTGGTGGGGGTGCAGGACCCGGTGCTCAGTGGGCTGGTGAATGACACCAATAACAAGGCCAACTCTTGGTGAGGCGTGCTTACTTGTTTCTAAATGCAAACGCCTCCCCGATCGAGTCGACTTTCTTGGTGTCAAGAAAGCTGCTGTGCAGCGGAAAGACAGGCGGGCAGGCGGGCCCCAGCCTCCCGCGCCGCACAGCCAGGCGCGAAGAACACTTGGGATTGCCATGCAGCTGCTGGCGTCGCCAGCGGCTTGCTTGTTGACAACCCGTTGCGGAGCCACCTGTGTGGTATCCCCTTGCTCCCCCTCCTTGACCACCCGCACCAGGGACGCCTACACGCTCTCGGTCAATGCAAACCGCATCAAGGACATCGCCGCCGGCACCTACACTCTGCGCGTCACCGCCACCAACATCTTCGGCCTCAGCAACACCGCGACCTTCACCTTCGATAAGGAGACCGCCGCTACTGTGCCCGCCTTTGTGCTGGACCGCTCCTTCGCCACGTTCATGCCCTCCAAGCCGCTGCGCCTGGCCGCCAAGTGAGCCCGCCACCTCGGGGCGCGCGCCCGGCTTGCCCTGGGCGCACAAGGGAGCCCTTGGCACACAGCCACGGGCACGTGCTGGGGCGCTGAGCACAGAGCTGACGCAAGCGCAGCTCCTGACAACAGCGCTCCGCCTGACACTCCCGAGCCACTCGCTGAACGGCCAGCTTGGCGCGCCCTGCCCCCGCCCCTGCCATCTGCCCGCGCCCGCCCCCCCCAGGGTGCTCCCCGGCCGCTGCGCCGGCGGCGAGATTGCCTGGGCCTGGTCCAGCACCCTGCCGGGCCTGGACCTGTCCTCAGCTGCCACTCCCAGCCTCTTCCTCAAGGGCGGCCTGACCGGGATAGCCGCCGGCCAGGTGCGGGCAGGGCCAGCTGCGGCGCGCACGCCGCGTGCCGCGCGAGAGGGCACCTGGGTTTGCCCCGAGGGGTGGGGGGTGGCGGGAGGGCGGCGAGACGGGCAGAGGTAATAAAAATCAGACCCGCGGCAATCTCGTGGTGTGCGAGTTGACAGCACAAGCATCCGGCCCGCACATCCCACAAACCAAGCGCGATACCCTGTCACGCAAAGGCGCCTGTGACAAACACAAAGGCGCCTGTGACAAACACATCCGCCCGTGACCCAACGGCGCCACACCCCGCAGGCCTTTACTTTCTCAGTGACCGCCGGCTACAGGGGAGCCAACACAACGGCCTCCGACTCTGTGACACTCACCGCCGTCGGCGCCCCGCTGGCGCCGGCCCTGTCCGGCCCGTCTGGCACGGTCCGCGCGGCCAACGTGACGTTCAGCGCTGCGCGCAGCCTCGATCCAGACGACCCTCAGAACGCGGCCAGCCCCATGGGGTGAGCGCGGGCACGGTCACGCGTGCGCCGTCGTCAACGCGCGCCAACTGAATTGTTTTGGGGCGCAAGCCAGGCCTGGGGCTGTGCACCTTATCTACATTTCTGGCACCCGGCTCGCACAACCTGCTGGAGGAGGCTTGCTTGCCAGCATGCACGGGCAGCTTTTGCACCTTTCAAGCTTCCAGGGCCAAACCCTCCAGTTGCACACTTCCTGGTGGACTCAGCGCAAACGCCACCCCCCACAAAACCCACTCTCAAACCTTGTTGCCCTCCCCCTCTGCCCGCGCGCCCCTGCTCCGGCGTCCGCTTGCGCAGGTTCCTGTGGTCCTGCGGCGCGGCGGCCGACGGCGGGCCGTGCTTCACGGCCGCGGGCTACCAGGGCGCGCAGGACGGCTCGGAGTGGCGCCTGGACCTGTCCATGATGGCGCCAGACAAGTGGGTGCTGCGTTGGACTGCTGACCAATCGCAAGGCAGAGCGCACCCTGCTGCTGGGCTGGGGGTTGGTGTGACTCATTGTGCATAACGTACATGTGGTGTATGCTTTTAGGGCGTGCCTGTTCTTTGCTGCGGGCCGAGCTGCGCTCGGGTGCTGCCGCGTAACGCAGGGATTACATCATCAGCGCCACCGTCGTCAAGGGCTCCGGCGATTACGCTCGCAGCGCCACGGCCTCCTTGGAGGTAGGGCAGGGGCCAAGCAGGTCGGGTAGACGGGCTGCAGGCGGGCAGCGCAGGAAGTGACGCTGTGCTGCTAAAACCCAATTTGTGTTTGAGGCTCAAAGACGAGGGGGCACGGTACTGACCAAAATCAACAACCTTGCCCTGCCTATGTTTTGTGTGCCCCCCAGCGCCCCATCCTTTAACAGGCCCCCGCCTGACCCTGCCATACAACTGCTGTGCGCCTGCGCAGGTCACCCCCAGGACAGTGCCCATCCCCACAGGCCGCATCGAGCGCTCGTGCGGCTACGACCCGCGCACCCAGGCGGGGCGCGCCTGCATGCCGCTGCACAACCCCTCTGAGCCGCTGACGCTGGTCGCCATCCCTGATGCAGGGTAAGCCCTCATCTTGGGGTACCAATCCCCCTCGACCCTGATGTACTGTGACCCACGCTGCCGTTCGTCGCAATGTCGTTTGCATGGCACCCCGTGGGCACACAACGCATAACCGATTTGTGGGGTTTATTGCCCATGGGTCGCTGGGGTCACCCCGTGACAACCTTGATTACGCAAGGTCTCAACTTACTACGACTCATTGTGACACACATCCCGTCACCCAGGTCCCCCGCACCCTCTTGGTCCTATGACCCCACCCGCACCCCCGGCGGCCTGACCCTGGGGCCAGCCACCACCGCCGGCGGCACCAACCGCCGCACCGTCACCATCCTGCCCGCCGGCCTGCCCGCGGCGGGGTCTGTCACCGTGGTGCTCCAGCTTGAGCAGGTGGGGCGGGCGCGGGAGGCTTGGTCATGCCTCCGTTCTGCCTGCCATGTTGCGACAGTGCCTGACATAGTGTGGGGGTGGGGGTGGTCAGAGCAAGATAGACAGGCACAGTGCCAGGCGCATTTTGTTGCAAGGAGGATCTTGGGCTCAGAACTTAGGGCTCCTTTAGGGTTGACAACGGCCAGAGCTCACACCTCTCAAATGACGCTGTATCACAGCGTCCCAATCCCTCCCATTGTTCTTGCCTCCCGCTGCTTGGCCCTCTCTGTGTCCGTTCTCCCACAACCACTCGTTTTTTTGCCACCCCACCTCAACCCGATCACACCCAGCCTCTCGCCCAACCACACACCCAACCCACCCACCCACCCCCTCAACCCTTTTTACAGACACCTCATGCCACGTCGCAGTGCTCCTCCACATCCCCCAACTCCAAATCACTCACATCTACACCCCTACCCCACCCCCGTGGACCCCAAAACCCCAACCCCAGGAGGGCCAAGTTGGCCGCACCTCTGCCACGATCGGCATCAACAGCCCCCCCGTCTGCACCGTCTCCGCCGGCTGCCTCACCGTCGATGCCCCCAGCCAGACGTTCCCGGCCACCTTTGAGCTGCGTGGCGTCGCGGGCGGCTGGGTGGACCCGGATGGGTTCCCACTAACATATGAGGTGAGGGATCTCGCTGCCGTGCATAATGGGCGCAAGCGTGCCGCGGGCGCTGGGCGCGGGCGCGGCCGGGGCCAGACGGCCAGAGGCAAAGCAGCCAGGACCAAATCCCACCGGCATGGCGCAGTACGTATGGGGTACAACAAACCCGTCTGGACAGCTTGGTCAGAGGATCTGGTGACAACGGCGGGGGAGCGGAGCTGATGGCTGATGCATCGCAACTTCAAGTGGGAGTTTCAGCTTGGTTTGGCTCGGCAGCAAGCGGCAGGATGCTCGTCCACTCGTGTCTTACACCGGCCGACCGGCACCTTGACGCCCCCCCCCCCGCCCGCTGCCCTCGCAGTTTGGCGTCGACAGCGGCGGCGTCCGCAGCGCCCGCGGCTCGGATACCTCCCCCTCTTTCACCTTCCGCGGCCTGGGCACCGGCAACACCACGCTCTACATGTGCGCAATAGACACCAACGGCGCCCGCGCCTGCGGCACCCTGCCGGTCCAGGTGCTCGACCCGCCGGCAGCCCAGAAGGCGCAGGTCGTCGCGGCGGCGCTGCAGTCCGTCGCCGGCAGCGTCTCTGCGGCTTCCGACGCCTGCGACGCGTCGCAGGTGACGTCCGCGGCCCTTCAAATCGCGTCCATCCTCGCGCTCTCGGTCCCTGCGCCCGGCGCGCCGGGCGGGGGCGGCGGCGCGGCCGCGGCCGACGCGCTGAACGGCACGCAGAACACGCTGGTTCAGGCAATGACCGCCGCGGGCCGCAGCGCGGGCGGGGATCCCGACGTGATGAACCCGATGCTCGCCGCGGGCGCGGCGCTGTCGGCGGCCGCGGACCTCAGCCCCAGCGCGGGCGCCGCGCTGCTCGACCTGTTTGACTCGACGCTCAGCGCCGACGCGGAGGCCGGGCGCGGGCTGGGGCCCGCGCAGCTGGCAGAGTTCGCGTCCGCCCTTGCTGAGGGCCTGTCCGCGGCCGCTGCGGCGCCGCCGCCGTCGGCCGCCGCGTCGCGACGGCGGCGCCTGCTGACAGATAGCGCCGTTATGACGCCGGGGGCGGTGTACGCCGCGCTGGCGAGCGGCGCGGACGGGCTGTCGTCGGCGCTGCTCGCGGGCGCGGCGCTGGACGCGGCCGCGGCGGCCGCGGGCGGCGCAGACGTGTGCGTCGCGGCGGCGCTGCTGAACGCGGCGGCCGTGGATGGGGCGCAGGTGGCCCTCAACTGCGCGGGCATTGCGGCGGCTGCCAAGGTCAGTGGGGTGGGGGGGGGGGGGCGGGGCTTGGGGCGTAGCAGTGAGGACCGATGTCGCTCGGCGTGCTGCCTTCTTCATCTGTTTTTGGCAGCCTCTTCTTGCACATTACGTGCATGCGCGTGCTTCACGGTCAGGTGGCCAACCATGCTGCCTTGCCCAACACCACTGTCTGCCCGGGTCCCACGTGGTCAACCTTGACACGCATCCCCCTCGTACACCACCCCAGATCACGATGCCCGCCAACTTCAGCGGCCCGTGCCTGGCCGACGCCGCCTGCGCCGCCGCCGCTCCCATCGCCCTGCAAGCCGCCTACTTCTCTCCAGACTCGCCGACCGGCACGCCGGCCGCCATCATGGCCGTGCTCGAATCCTACCCTTCAGCTGTCGGCATCAACAGGGTGGCCCGAGCCGTCACCCTCGTCACCGGGGTGATTGAAGTGTCGTCCAGCTACACCGCCGGCGCGTCACCCGCGCGCCTGTGCCCCTCCGGCGCCGCCGGCTGCGCCGCGTCGCTGTCGCTGCCGCTTTCCGTAGCCTTCGTGCCGCCCAGCGCCAACGCATCGCTGCTCATCGCATGCGTGCGGCTCGCGGCGCCGCCGGGGGACACCAGCGGCGAGGCGCTCGCCAGCAGCGATGACTCAGCGGATGTGGTGGCAGCTGGCGTCAGCGGCAACTCAGTCGTCTGCAAGACCGCGGAGCAGGGAATGTACGCCGCCTTCCAATACTACGATCCCAGCGCCGCCCCAGAGCGCTCGTCCCCGCCGCCGTCCGCGTCGCCCGCCGCCTCGCCGCCCGCCGCCTCACCCTCGCCGTCGCCCGCCGCTGCTGGCGGCAACGACACGGCGACCGCGTCGCCGTCGCCGTCGCCGGCGGCCTCGCCTGGCGCGGCGAGCCCGTCGCCCTCGCCAGCGGCGTCGCCCGAGGTGGAGGCGCCCGCCACGTTCAGCGAGGCGGCCGTCGATGGCAATGTGTCCAAGGTGGGGACCTGTGCAGCACAGCATGTGCATGTGCACAGGGCTGGGGCGGGTCGAATAAGAAGACCAGGCAGGACCAGGATCCGCATCAACATTGTGGCAGGGTCCTAAAGTCGCACGCTCCTGCAGCCTTACAACTGGGGTGGGGGGCCTTTGCAGGCCCCAGCACCAACCGAATGCTTGCGGCCTCGATGTGCAAGGCGTTCAAGGATTGCTGGCTGCGGCGCCATTCGCCATCCTCACTACTGCTCCCACCCTCCCGCAACACTAGTCCCCCCAGCGCACTAAGCACCTCCACGCACTCAAACACACTCCGTCACCAGGGCAACCGCCCCCACCGCACCCCACCCTCTCCCAACCCCCCCACTGGCAGCCCTTCACCTTCACCTTCGCCCTCAGCTGGCAGGACCTCTCCTCCAACGCCACACAGCTCGCCGACTTCAAGCTCGACCTGCGGCGCTCCTTTATCCTGGGCGTCGAGCGCGGCGGCTGGGGCGTCGGCGTCCGCACAGCTTCCGGCGACCTGGAGCTGTCGCGCGTCACGGTCACCTCCGTCCGCGAGGGCTCCGTCGTGGCCGTGGTGTCGTTCCTGCTGCCCGCGGGCGCGACCGACGCGCAGGCAGCCGAGTTGGTGACCCTCGTGACGTCCAACCCCCAGGCGCTGCTCGCAGGCAGCCCCCTGGCGGTGAACGTGCTATCGGCGGAGCCGGCGCCCGCAGCTTCGGGCGGCGGCGGGGGCCTCCGCGGCAGCGCGGTGGCTGGCATCGTTGTGGGATCGGTCGTGGGCGCGGCCGCGCTGGCGGGTTGCGCCATGATCGTCTTGGCACGCGCGAGGCGCACCGTCGGGGCGGGCGGCAAGGCCAGCGGCGCGGGCGCTGTCACTCCGTCGGGGCCGTCCAGGGCGGGGGCGAGCGTCGCGGCCGTCCAGAGCGATGGACGGCCGGGCAGCGCCGGCGGGGTGAGGGAGCAGGCGTGCATCCAGGAGCGCTGGCAGCCCCTGGGCTGACGGCCGTCAGGTCCTGCGTCTGCGTCCCTGGGATGCTTTTGCCTGCAAACTGAGTATGGGAGGGACCGGTTGTAGCGTATTGGAGGTGGGCATGCCGGCGGTTTGGAGCAACATGCGCCTGCCTGAGAAGGCTTTCAAGGCATTTGATGTGATATGTGATGACCAATGCGAGCTGGGCTGCCGTCTTGAAGCGCGCCCTCCCCGCTGCCATTGTCTTCTGCGCCGGGGCTCACGTGAAGGCTTGCACTTGCCACAAGGTCAGTGACCCAGGAGTTCTAATCCACAATGGAGTGTGGGGCCCACAATCCCCAGCGGTTTCAACTCGATGCGTGCCGCTTGAACATCAAATGACCTCGCGCCTTGTTTGGCACATCCGGCTCGAGACCCCTAGGGTTTAATGTCATCAGTGCTTGGGCCTATCCATGCACTGCCCGTCTGTCATATCCCAGGAGCCTTTCCATCTTCAATTATACAGAAAGCCAGGACAACTTTCTCAATTATCGCGTACATGTTCGTATGCAAAATGATTCTCACCTTCTGCGCGCTGCTGGATTTTGCTTGGGACCTCGCAGGTTCCATGAATAAACCGACAATGCCCTGTGCCCTCCCAAATACAGCACATATGCTTTTCACGAATGCACATGCGCTCCTGTCACATGGCCCCTTTGATATGGAAACCTCCTCACCAGGCCGTTTCTGTATGTCATCACCAGCAACCCTGAACCCCTCAGCAGTCGAAATTCAACCCCCACTGCCTGTTCAAAGCACTATCTACTACTTGCCAGTCACCCAACGATGCTGTCTCACTCAACCCCCGTTTGAGTGAGCCAGCATCCTGGCTCCTATTGTGCGACCATTTGTGACCTCCGGCCGGCAAGCGTGCCATGTGATAAGCGCGATATGCATCATAGCATCTGGGGGTGGTGGAGCCGCTGGTGAAGTGTTATTGCTGTCCTTGAAGGCACGGGCCGCTCTTTCCCAAGCGGCAGGGGCGCATACAGTCGCCCTGGCTGATATCATACCGACCTCTCTGGTGTGGTTTGGTATGGCCATGAAGCAGTGGCGGTGTGTTTCTGGGGGCCCACCTCCACTGGACTCTACGTCTGCACAAAGCCTGCAGCGCTGCCACACGCTACGTACAGCCTTGCGTTACTCTTCCATACTCAAGCCTGATTTTGCCGAGGAGGCGCCTGACCTTGTCGGCTGCGCTCTCTTGCACTCCAGACGCCCGCACTTGGTTTTGTGCCTGTGCCAGAGCAAGATTGCGTTCGCCCTTGCACCAGGCGCAGATTGGGCATTTTGAGCAGGAACGCGTCCCGCCTGGCGGGTAGGCCGCCTGCCTTGTCAGAAAGGACAGCCCCAGGAGCGCTTGGAAGAGGATTCTGTGGCTTTGACCAGGCAATTTCCTACGCGCTGGACAGGGGGGATGCGCCAGCACTGTTGCGCGTGGGTAGTTTTCAAAGGCGCTCTGTGATGTAATTCCTGGTACTTTGTTCGAGGCATTAGGTCAAATTCAAGGCGGGAATGAAAGATTGACAAATGGTGCCGGCGGAGGTGCCTGGTATGGGACCAGTTTGGGGGGACAGCCTTGAGTGGGGCCCATGCGCGCTGCAGGGGGTGGCATTGACTTGTTGACCAGCCTCCAGCTTGGGGGGCAGCTCTTAGCGCCTTGACAGTGCTGACCAGCTGGCATGCCATCGTGGGTGCTGGCGCACTTTGCTCGGAAGCCATGCAGATTTCAGGTGCCCACAGGTAAGCCGTGTCCTGGTCCACCTGCCAGCCACCTCAACCACAGTCATCGCCAAGCAGGTCGCGGACTGTAGGTTTCCTCGTCCTGCTGGCCAAGCAGATCGTGTTTCAAACAGGCCAACTCAAGCTCACTGTCCCCAACGCTGTCATCCTGCAGGTATGCCATTGGCCCACAGTCACAAGTGCAGAGCGGCGGCAAATGCTGCGGGTTCTGCGGGTACGGCTGACGCACGCGTCACGCACACGGCGCAGTGACGAGTGAAGTGTATTGCTGCACCTGCACAATCCCTTTCACCACACGCCGTCCACCACTGCACGTTTCAATTGGTCTTCTATATTACACGTATTCTCGCCCGAGCCAACCTCGCGACTGATCACGAGATCCCTTCGGTGTTTTCTCCAGCCTCGCGCGACATCGAGCAAAGGACCAGATTCACCTGGGGCGTCCTACTATATAAGGCATAGGACAGCCGACGTCTGTCAGCAGACCGCGAGCGGCGGGGCAGCAGGAGGGGCACGCCGCCGCCGCCGCTGCAGGCAGCAGCTGCGGCGGCGATGCTGTCTCTGAGCGAGGCGGCCGCCTCGGGCGCGCCCGCGCAGCCGTCCCTCGACCTGCCGCCCGACGACAAGGTGGTGGCCTCGCTGGATGTCGTGGTCTGCAGCGCAACGGACGCGCTGGGCGGCAGGTGCGGGCAAGCACCGTGTGGCAGGCGGCCAGCGCGCGCCGCAGCTCATGTCAGCAAAAACGCGTGCCCGCAGAGCGTCCTCAACGCGCGCCGCCGCCGCTGGAGCTCCTCTGTGACTGCTCGCACGTGGTCCGGGTTGTGTCAAAGCTCACACAGCCGCACGCCGAGCAAAGCATGCGCCCAGCAACACACCAAAAGAAGGCCTGCTACAACCCAGCCTCTCCCTTACCTCCGGCTCACAAACCCGCTCGCCTCCGTGCCCCAAAAAGGGTCGTCCTGCTGCAGCAGCCGCTGCGCGGCGCGTGGCGCCCCTACGACCTCCCGCGCGCCGCCGCCGCGCGAATGCGCCCCAAAGCGCGCCGCATGGAGTTTGAGCTGCCGCTCCAGACGGCCGGCCCGAACTACAACAAATCATACGGCGACGAGCGGCCAGAGGGCAAGCCCAAGCGCGGCGGCGGCAGCCGGTCAAAAGTCAAGGCGGAGGATGGCGGCGAGGAAGCCGACGGGAAGCCGGGCGGCCGCAAGGGCGACGCGGCGGGGCCGATGGAGCGGCTGCTGCTGCGGTCGCAGCCGGTGGAGGAGGGCGGCGGCGATTACGCTATCGGCGTCGTGCGCGGCGGGCGGCTGCTGCTCGTGCCTGTTGACTATGCGCTACAGCTGCGCCCCCACCTGGCGCACCTCAGCATTCCCTCAGCGGAAGGCAAGGCCGGCGGCGGCGGCGGTGGCGGCGGCGGCGGGAAGGGGCGCGGCGGCGGCGCGGCGGGGGACTCGGATCATGGAGGGGACGAGGATGAGGAGGGCGGCGGGCTGGTCGAGATCGAGGTTCAGGTGAAGCGCAGGGAGACCGAGCGGCAGCAGGCGGCGCGCCTGAAGTCGTACAGCCACTTGCAGGCGGAGGAGGAGGCGGAGGAGTGGCGGCGGCTGCAGGTGACGGAGGCGGGCGGCGCGCGGCTGTGGGCGACGATCGAGCCGCAGAGGGGGGCAGAGGCGGCCGCGGCGCCGCTGGCGGCGCTGTCTCGGGAAGATTATTTGGAGCTTGTCACGCCGGGCGCAGGCGGGCCCGGCGCGGTGCCGGCGGGCGCGGGCGCAGGCGCGGGC